TCTGTCACTTGCTACCTGCGTGAAATAATTACCTAAGTATAATCGCGAGACGGCCTGGGCCGCAACCGCATACGCAGTCGGGGCTAGCTAATGGTGATTGAATATTTAAGTTTTTTAACGCTGTTTGCGTAAATAGTTTTTTGTAAATACTTGTTGAAATAGTTTTTGTTCAGTATTTAGTATATTTAAGTGTAGGATAAAGTACCTTCCTAGTATAATTGTTGTGTAGATGGATGCTAAATGACCAACAAGGTTTCAGATATTATTCTTTAAGTTACCGAAGGATTTTAGTAGGAAGTTATAAAAGGTGATTTGTATTTGTTAGATAGGTACTCATAGCAAAAACGAATTAAGTAATAATTTAACTACAGAGGTAATACCTAAGAGTATTATTACAAAAAGTTGAAATTTACTTCAATATCCAAGTATCTACTTATATACCTATACTTGTCTTTGGTAATTAAAATATTTTAAATTCAAATTTATTCATTGTCAGAATTTTGTTTATTAATGAGACCTTACATTCTACCATTATATTGGCGTGCAATATCTTTACAATATAGGTACAAAAAATATTATTGAAATTTAATGAGGTTAAATTATTGAAGAAAAGCAATGATGTAATCTTATATATATATATTATATTTTTATATATATAATCTTATATTTTATATATATTTCAGCATCAAGTTTTTAAATTGCAATAAATACATGTCAAATATGTAAGTAAAAAATAAAATAAAAAATATCAACAAAATAAAATAAATATAAAATGACAAAAATAAGAAAAATTAATCAGTTTCTCCATTATTACCATTATTGTAGATTTCTTTATAAGTCATATATTCGTCTACACTATAAAAACATTTTGTTGCTAGCCATTCTGTGAGTTTCCTTTTGAAAATAACGAAAGGTAGGTCTTTGAAAGTGTTAGGCAATTCATTGTAAACTCTAATGGCATTTATAAATACATTTCTTTTTTATATATTTAGTCTGCATTGAGGCAAGATATAGTTTAAATTTATTTCTTGGTATGGCACTTCTACTGACTAAACTTGAGTTAATGATGAAGTATTGTGGGTGATATTTGACAAAAACACAAAGTTCCCGTATGTACATACAAGCTAGAGGCAGTATGTGAAATTTGTGAAATAAAGGTTTGCAACTATCTAAAGACCAAGCTCCACAAATGGCCCTTACACACTTCTTTTGAACACGAAAGGCCTTGCCAACCTCAACCGAGTCGCCCCACAACAAGAGGCTGATAAGCGCTCAGAGCCGCTTCAGTAGACACTGTAAACCGTAGCTGTTTTATAGCATAAACAAATCTCTCAAGTTTATCCCATACGTACTCTATATGAGTTTTCCAGTCACAGTGCATGTCGACCATTAATCCTAAAAATTTAGTAGTAGACTTTTTCAATTTTTGTATTATCATAACAAATATTCAGTCCAATAGGTGGAGTTCTATAATCCCTAAATTGTATAATTTTGGTTATATTTAAGTTTATTTTTAGATTGTTACTTTTGAGCCATCTAAAAATTTTGTCGAGTGTAATAGATATTTCACTTTCATAGAATTTTCTATCCTTATACTTAATAGTTACAGTACTATAATCCGCAAACAGAACAGTTTCGTGGTCAGTGAAGTTTGGAAGATCATTGATGTATATTAGAAATAAAAAAGGACCTAACACACTTCCTTGTGGGACACCGTATTTATTATTTTGAAACCGAGAACTGCTTGTAATTTTTTGTCCATTTGAATTTTAGTAACCTTGACGCACTGTTCACGACCAGTCAGATAACTCTCCAGCCATTCGTGTGCTTTTCCCCTGACTCCGTATTTTTCAAGCTTATATAGTAATAATGTATGGTCTACGAAATCGAAAGCTTTAGTCATATCAAGGAAGATCGCACTTACCAGTGCCCTTTCATTTCCAAAAAATAAAACATGCTAATGTCGTGTTACTATTTTTTCTAAACCCAAACTGCTCATGTTTAATAATATTTTGATCTGTAAATTAATCGTAGTCTTTTCATCATTACCTTTTCAAATATTTAAATAAAACTGGTATTAAAGTGATTGGACGATAATTATTCATATCTGTAGTCTCTTCTTTGTTAAATAATAGCTTATCGATTGATTTTTTTTAAATTTCAGGGAAAGTACCTTCCACAAGCGACATATTTATAAATGTAGCTCAAAGGTCCACATATATACTTAGCACAGGCTTTGATCATTTTTGTATTTATATTATCTAATCCTACTGAATTAGTATTATTAAGTCTTTTAATTATATTATTTATTTCAATTTCATCCGTCGGTTTTAAAAATATTGTGCTTAAATAATTGATATTCATAGTAGTATTGATGTCATCTATTTTTAAATTAAAATCATTTGTATTGGTCATGTCTATATAAAAATTATTAAAAGCTTCACTAATGTCACTTGGTTCAGAATATTTTTATATTATTTACGCTATTATTTAGAGTAGTATCTATTTGGAAAACATTTATTTTACCAATATTAGCATTTATAACACCACTGCTTTGCATTTATTTTTGTGCCTATCTATATACTTTTTATTTTGTAATTGTAACTATTTATGCATACATTTTTAGAGTATTGTGATATTTTTTATATTTTATATAATTTTTCTTTTTGTCGGCACCAGTCCGTATGTATTTTAAGTATAGTTTTCTTTTTATTATACAAGACTTTTTAATCCTTTTGTTAACCAAGAGTTTTTGCTAATTTTGTTAGTTTTTTACGACTATTACAGTAAAGCACAGATTAAAAAACAGTTCGAATAGTTGATGAAACTCTCGAAAAGCGTCATTTAAGCATGATTGTTTGAAAACATAAGAAAAAAGTGATTGAAGATATGCAGCTACAAAATTTATTAATATTATTTTCACCGAAATCTCGAGCTTGTTCTAACCACTTAACAAAATTTCGTTTTTTACTCGCCTGTATTGTAAGAATTTGACCCGTCTAGTGGTCAGATAAGCCTAAGCAGTGGACCTCAGCTCGTATATGCCTTATATTACTTCCAAATTGATCGATACATTTCGTTTGTCGAGTAGGTGACTTAATATGCATTTCAATATTAATGTTTTTTTAATAATTTTATCAAATATTGACAATTTTTATTAGGTCTTAAGAGTGCCAAAGTTCCAATCTCCACATAATATTTTTTTTTGGATCTATTACAAATTTTCAACAAAAGTTGTTCCAGTTTGTCAATAAAAAGTTGAGGATTACTATTTGGGGTTCTTTCTATATATACATATTATGAAGATTTTTTGTGATGTGTTAAGTTATAATAACACAAAATACTGAAATTAAAACTTTGTTTACTAACAAGATATTTAACCAAATAGACTACGATAACATTTCGTATATCAGGTTTATTTGTTGTTTACATTATATACCTATTTCTTTCGAGCCAAGCATCGCGATTCCGGACGAATGGCCTTGCTAGTTGCATGCGTTGGGCATCACAGAACTCACATAGGTGCGAAAATATGGTTAGTCGATCATAGTCAGAATAGGTACTTTATCTAAGTAACTTAATTACCATTACGCAATTTATTTATTTAGTCTTTATTGACAGCCCTTAATAACCACGGAAAGTCCGCCGTGACGTAGTAAGGGGAAAATGATGTAGAGTAATACGCACGTAGTGATAGTATTATTTAGCTTGCGTGCGCGGTTTATCTAATGAATAATAATTACGTGGGCTATTAAACGTCGGCAAGTAGTCAACATAAAAGTAGTGCAAGTTCTGTACGTAGTACTATTTGATCTGTGCTAATATCAAAGGATTCAAATTGGTTTTCTTACAACACCTAACCCTACAGTAGGAGCGGTCTTAACAAAAACGCGTAACGGGCTAATTGACAAAGACTCTAGCAGGCGGACGTAAGGTGCATTTTGATTTAATACGCGCGCCGTAATAATCGGGAGACAATTTTAACGAAGGTCGAATCCGAGGCGTGCAAAGCATATATTGTGAACATTAGCGACGTTGTAACTACGTTAAATCTTGCAAGTTTGCTATCAGAGTGATTCTTCTGATCTTGTACTATTATTTATTCTGTGCTAGTACCAACTGTTTGGTTATAAAGTAACACAATACCAGGTCAGAGTGCATTTTGATAATACATAGTTGTTTATATATGATTACAATCATTAGCAATCAGTAGTTATAATATCTAAGATAACCTAATCTATTACAAAATTTGACTTGCAATACCTAGGTATTACCTCATGATGTTTTGTATTGTATAATCGACAGAAGTATAAATATTTCTTACATCAAACTAATTTTCACAAAAGTATAG